TTCTTCATCCTCTACCTCCTACATGTGGATGTTCTCTAGATCTTTGCCTTGGGCACTCTTCCTTTCTCTCTTTATATTCACTTTCTTGGGAAGATACCAAAGAAAGAGCTCTTGGGGAGCTCTCTTCAACCTACATGGATTCAAATAGGTTCCTTATTTGGGCGATTCCTAAGTCTGTATCTCCACCCCTAATCTCTATCTTGAACTTCACAATCACATTGTCAACTCTTTGCTGCATATCTCTTCCTAGATGTCCAACAAACATCTTAAATTCAGCATGTCCAAAACCAGCATTCATTATCTTCTCTCAAAATCTTCCTTTTCTTGAAACTTCCCTAATTCTGCCCAGGACACTACAATTCTCCCAGTCTTGCATTTGTACAACCTAAGGGCCATGCTTGACTCTTTGGAATCAGTTATTGACTTGCCAAAGGACCAACCCACAACTTCCATGCAATCCTGGCTGTTTCACTCTTGTTGATACTAACCAAGTTACTTAACCTAGAAATATCACTTAGTCTCTTCAAAATTATAGATAATTTATGTGACCCATCTTTAGCCAGATCATGTGGACTGCATAGATATTTTGTTTTATGAATAAAAAATACACCTGAAAAGTTGTACAGATATTTAATTTTTGAAATAATTTTAAATGAATTATGGGAGGTTGGTACTTAAAGTTGTCTATGGTGATTCTTTTTGTAAGGACACTAGTGATTCCTTAAGTTCAGATTTCATATATTTGGCTTTCTTTAAAGGAGGCTATATCTGCCTCTGGAAATGTAATATGTTGCAATATGAAAAAAAATGTATAACTTTTAGCTGGACTACTGTATTTTATAGACTTAGATAATAAAGTGAAGGAATGGCATAAAGAAGAAATAATGTTGTTAGTGTATGGTGTGGTATTGTGAGGATAAAAAACACCTAAGGTATTTCACCTTAGGCCTAAGGAATTTCTTTTTTTTCTCACAGAAGTTCACCATTTGGTGCAAGAGATTGACATGCACTAAAAATCTACCACCATTCTTAGCCTGGGGCTAAGAAATACAAGTGTGCTGTGAAAATGATTTAATGTAGAGATACCAAAGAAAATACATCATTTTAAGTGATTATGAAAGGTAAGTGAGCTTTTAAAATATTTGTGTGAGCGAAAATGTCTAATTAGAAGTATTCACTCCTGACAGATGTGATAAGGACATATAACTAAAGAAGACTGATGATCTCTTTGGGATTTTTTTTTCAGTTCTGTGATTCTATTTTAGAATCTAATAGGTTAGATAGAATAGAAACTAATAGATTATACTAGAAACCTTCTGAAGCACTAATGGCCCCATGCTAAATCTATCCTCAAACACTGAACTCTCAATTAGAATAAGATGTGAACAATTTCAAAATTCTTGAAATTCCTGCTTTTTTTGACTTTGGATCACACTATCATAAAAGAAAATGTGCTCTTATCCAACAAACTTCTGAATGGTGAATGAACTTCAATGTGTACTCTGTTAGACCCAACCAATTAATTTATTAATAGAATGAAATGCTGAGAAAACCATGATTTTCTATGATTCTCTGATTGTACAAAGTTCATCTTCAGAAGGGCTTATATCCTCTTTACATTGTCATCATGGTCTGAATCAGAATCCATGTGAATGAGTTTTTACCCATAAAATGGATAGTGAATAAAGATGATCATACAAAAGCTTTTAAAAATATATTCTATCTCCTGCACAGCTGCTATGCTGTGTTTTCTTTTCCAAGTTCTGGTCTCTCAGAGGTATATTTTAGAAGTGGGGAATAGTTGTATGTATGGCTTAATCTAAAAATAGCCATTTACTATAACTGTCAAGGGAACCTAATGATTACACATAATACTCCTACGTGCTACTTTCTATATGTACATCTCTAATTTCACCTTACAAAGGTCTGACATCGTCATTGAACACACATCTTAATGATTGCACACTGAGTCCTCCAAAAACTGAAGACAACTGAAAGTGAAATTTTTGAATGATACAAAATATGTGGGAGGTAGCATGGCATAATGAAGGGAAGGTTGATGTTAGAGTCAGGAAGACCTGGGTTCAAGTCCTGTTTCTGGCTGTGTGAGCACAAGTGAGTCACTTCATATCTAGGCATTCACTGAGACTGGAAGGTACAGCTGAATTACTGATTTGCACCATTGGGGGCAGTTTCCCACACACACAATTACAATCATGTGCCTGGACAGACGTGATCTGTTGTAGAAATGCTATACAAAGATATCAATAGAGTTATGGTAACCTACTTGCAGCAAAAAACAAAATGGGTACACTGAAGCCACAAGGTAAGACATAAACCATAAACCGGGTCTTGGAGGTGCATTAAGCTTGAACTCTTGAGAATAATTAGGTTCTGTCTTAACTCCTTGAGTTTGGCTAGCACTGGTCTTGTCTAGACCTGTGTTCCCTAGAAATTTGGGCCAGCTCATTTTTATAAGATGGTGAAGATGATTTGGGTGGCTTTCTCCTAAATTCATTGTTGGATCATCCCAGGACAGTTTTAGGGAGTCCTATTCATAACCTACCTTCTCAGATCACTGCCTTGTTATAGCAGAAGAGCTTGTATAGCTCAATGAAATTCTGACTCCATGTAGGGTTACCCAAGGTTGATAGGTCATAGCAGAGAGTTCTGACAAAAGACGATGCATTGGAGAAGTAAATGGCAAACCACTCCCGTATCTTTGCCTAGACAACTCCATGGACAGTGAGAGGCCTGGCATGCTATGGTATATGGGGTCACAAAGAGTCAGACATGATTGAACAACTGAAGAACAACAATACATATATCCTGCTTGACACTCTCTCTCACATTTTAGCTAACAGTAAAATAAAGCCTAGTCTGAAAATAAAGTAGGGGTAGTAGAGAGGACTAAAGTAAAACATTTTTTTTCTGATTCAGACCAATTTTAGGAATGGAGCAAGTCTAATGACGTCTATAGGACCAGCGATCAGGTGGTGCCACTTACAATTTATTTAGTAATAACTCACTCTCAGAGCCCTACTCCTAGGAAATGTATACTAATAATCTTCCGTCCTTCTTCCTTCCTGGAAAGCCAGGAGTAGTGACTGCATGGACATAAGAAAAGGTGAACCCATAGTGGCAATGCTTCAAGGTCTGCTACAAGCATATTTGGGCTGAGGTAGCTATCAACATTACATCCCAGGGGTCATGCTATATTTGTTGCTAAAATGCCCTCAAAGCAATCTTCTTCACCAATTTCTGAGTATAACCAGTATAATATTTTGCTCAAAATACATTCTTTTGAAAGTACGCCATTTTAAGCTAAAAGAATATCACTGGAGATGCACATTTCGAAAGAATCAAAGTTAAAAATTATTTTACCACATTTATTATAACTCCATGCAATTAATAGCTCAAGCTGTGCTTTTTAAAATCATGATAACGTTGGTTCAGAAAATTACCTAAATCTTAGGATGCTATAATGCGTATTTTAGATTGTGTGACTTGATACTAGATATCCCTTCTAATTCTTTTTTTTTCCAGTTTTTAAGGACTGAGCTTTTTAAAGTAGTGCTGAAAAAAAAAAGAGGCTGGAAATTATGCCCTCAGATATTCTTCATCTATACATAGAATTACAGGACTTGAGACCTAAAAAGAACCTTAGAAATCATCTGATGCCGTCTTCTCATTTTAAACTAAGGGAACTGAGGCCCGTAGAGGCCAGATGACTTGCCAAAGTTTACAAATTTAGTGACAGAACCAAGAGTAGAATTCACACCTCTATTTGCACTCTCTTGTATATTATTTTTAAATGTTTCCACAATCCTATAGCAAAGACTTTTTTTCTTAGTATTTTGAATAAGTAATAAAGTAATTGGATCTACCATGCATATTGGTACAAAGTCTGGTTTTTAAAGGTCACTTTACTTTAAAAACTTCTTTTGTAGGAACTATAAGCACACAAGTTGAATATTTTTCAGTGGTAGCTGATTTAATAAAGAAAATTTCATAAGTTCAGAAGTTCAAAGTATCTTCAAAACAGTAATGATTTACTTTATCTTCACCTTTAATTATCTATACCTAATAGATCACTATTAGGGCTCTAAATGGGTCATATTTACCTGATTTGTTTTATTAAGATTTTTAAAAATTTATTACATATAAAAATGAATTTATCCATTTAATATCAACTACTGGTTTAAAAAACAGATTGAAAAACTGTGATTAGAAAGGACTACAAAGTTAGAAATGAAGACACAATTTAGTCATGCCAGGCATGTGCATTTAAGCAAGACAGTATTCTAATAATGGCTGTGTAGTATTTCGCTCAATACACATGCATAACATACATACAAAGTCCCAAATATACTTCTGTCAGTAATTCCACCCATGATTCATCCAAGAGGCTTTGGTCCCTCAATGAAATGTGGCTATGTTCCTCTCAGCTACAGCATACTCTGGCTTGGGCTGACAGTTTTTTAAACAAGCTAACTTGATGGAACTTCATCTCAAGTTTGGGGCTTTTTAAAAAAATGGATTGTTTCCCACTGTGGAAGATCAGAGTACAGTCCTTCTCTGAACATGCCTCTAGTAAATGTACGTTATTAGAATTGTTTTTGCCGCTGTGGTCTGACTCCTTTGCCCATTAGAGAGGGGAGAAAGGAGAACAAAAAAACCAACTTGCTGTAAGCTGTCGAGAAGATTCAGTGTGATCAATCGATCTGCCCCACTGGATGTCAGTTACACTCACAGCTTCCCGACATTCTATTCAGGCATCTTGTTGGCACTCAGGGAAACCAGCCAGAGAGTGGACCCCCGGCAGCTTCCCCATGAAAAAGTCAATCAGGTTCTAATCACAAGGCAGGATGCGAGTTAGAGTAGCTCAGACCTGGGGCAGCGGCGGGCATGCAAGTTTGGTTAGTTAGTCTGAAATGTACCATGCAGGTTTGCATTCACGTTTGGCAAACGCACTTAGGGAAAACAGACTTTATGCTTACAATGATCCCAGCCCAAAATGGAGTTTCTCTGACTAGCAAGGAAGAGCTGATGCCTGCCATAACAAAGCCCACAGTTGTCACAGCGATGCCTAAGGCCAGCTGCAACAGGGCGAGCAGCAGCGGGAAACGGCAGCCACAGCAAGTCCGGGCTTCCTCCTCCCGGCACGCTTTGGGGTCCCCTTTGCCTTTCTTCGGCCCCGGGTCGCTCTGGGCCCCTGACGCTGTGCCCCCGTCCCCGGCGGGCGCCGTTGGCCCCTTCCTCGGCTTGCCTTGGGGAGCGTTGGGGGCTGGTGGTTGCTCGTTCTGGCCCATGGCCGGTGGGTGGGTGGGCTGCGGGGCCCCCAGGAACTCACTGGGCTGGGCGCAGGCTGAGCCGCTCCCGGTATTTGAATCACGGAGGCTGAACAAATATGGAAAACATTTGGAGCAGACGGTGGGAGCCTCCAAATGCCACAGGGAGCCCGGAGGAGAGGGGGAATCGAGGGGGATAGCGAACTGCCAACGAGAGGGGACGTAGCGTCTGTGTGGGGCTGCAGGGGAACCCGAGTGGACACACGCGCAGGAGCCAGCGTGGGGGTCCTGGGAGCCCCCGGGAAGGAACAGCATGTGCTGCTTCTGACATGCAATAGGAGAGTGGGAGGGAGTGTGTGTGTGTGTGTGTGTGTGTGTGTGTGTGTGTGTGTGTGTGTGTGTGTATGTGTGTGTGTGTGTGACAGAGAGAGAGAGAGAGAGAGACAGAGACAGAGACAGAGACAGAGACAGAGACAGAGACAGAGACAGAGACAGAGACAGAGAGACAGGGACAGAGAGAGAGAGAGAGAGAGAGAGAGAGAGAGAGAGAGAGAGAGAGAGAGAGAGAGAGAGAGAGAGAGAGAGAGAGAGAGAGAGAGAGAGAGAGAGAGAGAGAGAGAGACTGCAGCTGGAGACAGTGAGAGGGGAGATTCCGGGCATTTTGGGGAAAGACACCAAGAAGAATGAGGAATGTTAAAATCATTGTAGTTCTCAAGTCTTTCAAACTTGTTTGCCTTTACTATGTTGTTATGATGTCTAAAGGATTCTTCTTCAGCTTACTTCACTTTGCATCAGTCAGTCTACAGTGTTTATTAAAGGCTCGCCAAGTGCCAGGCCCTGTGCTAAGCATTGGTGTTACAAAGAAAGGCACAAGTTGAAACAAACAAACAAACAAACAAACAAAAAACCCCACAAGGCTCCTGCCCTCAAGCTATGCATATTTGTTGCAAGAATTTTGTTTTTCTTTTTCCAGCGGAGATGGGGAAGGTGAGATGGAGAGAAAATAAATGTTTAATTGTAAAAACAAAATATTTAAATCATTATAGTTCAGTGAATAGGTGGTTATTCCAAATCAGGACTTAGGAGAGTAGGGAGAGGGGGAGCAAAGCAGTTTCCATGGCTTTTGTTTTGGTTTTTTAACTGGGACAATATCTGGTCCCTAGTATAGTGGAAAGAGCTCTTGCCCAAGAGCCGAGACTTGAATTTTGGTCTCTGCCTTACCACCAACTTGCTGAGTGACCTGGGGGAACCAGTACATTCCACTGGGCTTCAATTTCCTCATGTGTAAAAATGAGGGTTTGAAATGGATGGCCTTTAGGTTCCCTTTCAGCCCTGAAATTGAAAAATTAAAGGCATATGTTGAAAGTCTTCCATTGCTTTTAACAACTAAGAATAATTCTGAAGATTAGACAAAGCTGGCTATGTTGCAATGCTTTGGGAATATATTGAAATATTTATTAGGTTCAGTCCTCCACTACTGAATGAAAAAATTCCCTATACCGCCTTGGGAATATAAGCTTCTTCAGGGTAAGGACAGTTTTGTTCCTTGTCTTTGAATGCTGAGCTCCTGAGAGAAACCATGGAGTAATTAAAAAAAATAGCAGGCCTGGGAGTCAGGAAGAACTGGGTTCATGTCCTGCCTCTGACATATACTGGTTATGTGATCCTGGGCAGTACACTCAGCCTCTTAGTAATTACTCTAAGACTAGGCACTTCTAAGACTGTAAGTGGTAGTAGAAGAAATAGCCACCTTCATTGGTATAGTGGGTTTCCTCACTGAGAGTTCTCTATACCAATGAAATCATAGGTCCCACCCAAATATTTGTGTGTGTGTGTGTGTGTTTATACACACACACACACACACACACACACACACACATATATATATATATATATATATATATGTATTATATATATATATATATCAGTGCTTGGTACAGTGACAGATACATAATAGGTGCTTAACAAATTCATGTTTATTGGTTGATTGATATATATTATTAGATTTTAAACATCTGTAAAGCTACTATGATAATCATAATCTATCTCATATTTCTAGACGCTGGACAATATTTTTAAGACAGTTATCATACTTTGTATTGACCTGATCATCTATATGTCATTATCTAAACACTCTTTACAATATCGCTGTGAGGAATATTATCCTCATTACAAATGAAGAAACTGAGGTGCAAAGTGGTTGCACAGCAAATCAGTGAAGAACTGAAAATGGAATTTGGGATTTGTATCCTGTGCCAAATACTAAATCATTATTCTTGTCATATAACTACTAGTCAAAAATTTAGTGCCAAAGAAAACATAGACAACAGAAGCATGTGGAATTTCAGGACTGAAAGTATATGTTTTTAATGAGAATACTAAGAAATAGTCTCATCATGATATTTTTTACATTGCTGAGAAGTGAGAGGAAAAAAATCCCTTCTCACAGACTGTATTCGGAGTCAGAAAACCTGGGTTTAACCCTTGCTTATGACCCTTCCAACCTTCAATTTCCTCATTTATAAAATGAGAGGTTTGAATTAGATGATGTCTGCTGCAAAAATCCTTTGATTCTATGATCTTGGTCTAGCTTATTCAAAATCCTTAACTAGCATAGAGTGAATGGGACTTTGTCCCAGGGTGTCTTGATTTAGAGGAAGGGCACTTCCTTCCCAGGGTGGCATATTTCCTTTACATGTTCATTCCTGTCTCCATACCTTACCTCACAGACCTACACTGGATCATCCTCAGGGATGAGACCTGTGTCACTGAAGTTGGCACCCTCAGACTCCCATTTTCAGAGATGTGGCATAGTACACTTGCCATACCTAGAGTGCCATTTCCAAGGTCCCCTGTACCAGTCTCTCCTTTCCCTTCAACCTCCATGGGGGGTGGGAGGTGAGGGTGATCAGGCTAGACTCCATTCCTTCCAAGGCAGCTATAGCATCACTTGTTTTTTGCCTCAGATTAAAGAAATTCTTGTTACAACTTTCTCAGTCAACTCAAGAAAAGATATACTACCAAGAATCACCTAACATCTTCATCGTCATCATCATCATTATCATCATTCTCTCCCTCATATGTACATTATATCCTTTTTTTTTCAAGGCAATCGGGATTAAGTGACTTGCCCAGGGTCACACAGCTAGTAAGTGTCAAGTGTCTGAGGTCAGATTTGAACTCAGGTCCTCCTAACTCCAAGGCCAGAGCTCTATACATTGTGCCACCTAGCTGCCCCTTATGTAACCATTTTTATAAAGAAGTCAAACAATATTATCCTTAATAAATCAAATCAAAATTTAAAGGCAGCATTTGTGACAAATAAAAAGTACTGGAAATGCTCTGATTTTATATTTTATACATAGTAATTTATACCTTTCTTCTGGAGCACTTAGCCAACAAGCATTTATTAATTATTGACCTGTGTTCTAGGCATTGTTTTAAGCGCTAAGGAAACGAAGAAATGTGAAAACATTGTCCTTGCCCTCAAAGAGTTTACATTCTAATGGGAGAGACAACATGTAAATAGATGAGGGAGGGAAATAAGGCCTGTGCATCACATCAAGCCTTCCAGGCCATTTGCCTGGCCATACACAGTGTTTATGTATGAATTTTACAGTGTACTATAGGTGATGGTCAGATGAAACAAACCCAAATAAACGCAAGATGGGGAATGAAAAGGACAAAGGAGAGCTCACACAAAGTGCTGCAGGAAAATTTGGGTCTTAGGAAAGAGTTCTAAAGAGTGGGCAGAAGTGGTGGGGGCAGGATTATGGAAGACTTCACAGAGGACATAGCATCTCAGGAGAGCTTTGAAAGAAGATCCTCAAAAGAAGAGCTGCTGGGGAGGAAGGCATGAGGCACAGCTTATAAGAATTCAGAGATTCAGGAGGGGGAATGCTGACTTTGGGAAACAGCTGGTGGTCCAGTTTGCCTAGAATATAGTTTGTATTCATGGCAGCAGTATAGACAAAGGCTGGAAACTTAGATTGGAAACAGATTGTGGAGGGCCTTAAACAATACATTGTTTAAATGACATCATCGCTAAGCCTCTGTCAGTGATGTTTAAAGGATCATAGAGGACAGGAGATCCCACAGGAATGGAGTTTTCCAAATTTTCAAAAAATGGAAGGAAAAAATCATAAGCAAGTGAGCTTAATTTGAATTCTGTGCAGACTTCTAGAAAGGATTATGAGTTAATCTTCTAGAAAAACATCTAGTGGTAAATATCTAGAAAAGGGGGCAGTGATGATGGAGAACAGATGATGGCAGACTAACTATTTCCTTTTTTTCTGAGAGGGTTACTAGCCTAGTAGGTCAAGGAAATACTAGTTTTAGATATAGTTTACCTAGAAGTATTTGCCAAAGCCTCTGAAGCTATTCTTATGGAAAAGTCATATAGGGGCTGGATGATAACATGATTAGATGGATTCAGAGCTAGTTGAATTGGTCAAACGCAGAGTTTGATGTCAACTTGCACGTCTCCAGAAGAGTGCCCTGAAATCTGTGTTTGGCCTTTTCTGTTTAACGTTTTTATCAATGACTTAAGATAAAGGCATTTTGCAAATTAACTGGATGGCATGCTTATCAAATTTGCAGCTGGCACAAAGTTGGAAGGGATAACTAACATGCTAAATGGCTGAATCAGGGTCCTAAAAGATCTTACTTAATCTAAAAGATGAGAAGGAATCTCATAAGATGAAATTTAATAGGCATAAATGTAAAATCTTACGCTTTGATTTAGGAAATGGGCTAAGCAAACAGAAGATGGAGAAAGCATGGTTAGAAAACAATTTATTTGAAAAAGATCTGGGAAGTTTAGTGAATTGCAAACTCAATGTGAGAAAATAGTGCAAAATGGAAGCTAAAAAGGCTGATGTAAACTTGAGCTACATAGTTTCCAGAAATAAGATCATTATGGTCCCATGGTACCATTGTCAGATCACTTCTAGAATACTGTGTTCAGTTTTGTATACCATACTACAGGAAGGATAACCTGGAGAATATCTTGATATGGGCAACAAAGTCCATATCATTTGGGAATAAATTAAAAGGATTTGTGATGTTCAACCCGGAAGAGATAAAACTGAGGTGGGGAGAGCATCACAGCTATGTTAAATTATTTGAAAGCAGTCTATGAAAGTTTCAAAATGGTCAATTTAGGACCGATGTTGGGAAAAACAAGAGCCATCCAAAAGTGGAAGGATCTGTCTTGAGAGGAGGTTGTCTCTTCATTGGAGGTCTTGAAACAGGCTCTATGACTGTTTGATGTGTGCTAGTGGGGTTTCCTTTTCAGGCATAGGTTGGACTACATGACTGCTGAAGTCTCTTAGAACTCAACTACTGTGATTTTGTGA